CAAGTGTACACTTGTACAAGTTCTGGGTCAACTCCAGCCACTTTTGAACACAGAGCATCCACTGTAGTATGGTTTATAGAACTCTATTATCTATATTTGACAGGTCACAAGGTAGCCTTGCCCACCTTTTTATTTCCCTCCATGTGACTTGCCAGCCTTTCTGTTTCTATCATCTATGTGGTCATAGTCAGCATCAGAACCTGGTATTGAACACTATCCATCTAGAAGACATCCTAAGTGGACATCCCAAGCTCAAGCCATGGCTCCACCAACTCCTCTCATAGTTGTCTGAAAGCATACCACTGACCAGAACAAGGACAAAGTAGTGGACCTTATAACCATCTGTTGAGAGGTGGAAAACAAGTGGGTCCTCCATTCCAGTCACCACCGCCAGGTGGTCTTTGAACAGATTGCCATGGAAATGGTAGTCCATGGGCATAAGCATGATTGGACAAGCTGTCCTCCACCCTTTTGATGAAAGGCATGGTGAAATGCTAGTCTGTAATGGGCATAGCTCTCATCTCCCTTGATATAGATGCAGACCTGGATGACACTGTCAGTATGGGTCTCACTTATGCATATGCCTCCATGGTGCCCCATGAGACAACCTTGAACAGAGACAGGTCAAGGACTCCTTGCCTCTCCAAGATAATGGCAGAGACACGGAGATGAATTCAAAGTTGTACATTGACTGCTCCCAGACCCCCATCCACAATATCCCAGCTTCTCCTTTTAACAATGTGTTCAGGGCCGCCCCATTCCTGTACATTCATCCCAAAACAGCCCATGTCACTCCCAGTAAGCCTATCCTTCCAGCTCCATGAACCCATATAACACAAGGGAAAACATACAAGCCTTTCCCTGCCTCCACTTGGTAAGTTGCTTCCATTCAAACATTTTCCTCTGTTAACCTCTGTGCCACTGGTAGTGAGCAAGAGGATGCAGGGTTGTCAAGGGTCTGGAAACACTGCCAGTGCTCATTTCTAAAAAGTGTGGGGTAACCCTTAGCCAAGCCTTATGGAAAGCCACCATCCCTCCCTAACCCAATTCCATTCCGTCGTGGTGAGTCTATGGGTATATACAGACCATCTCACTTCAGCTAAGAGGTATTAATTCTAATCTCTGAATAGTAAAGGTGCATGAATGCAAGTGTTCATATATGCATAGCTGTTGATTGTAGAAGAAAGTAGTAGTACATTAGCTGATAGAAACAGTGATTGTTATCCAGCATGTGGACTAATCAGTAAAGAGATATAGATCTATATACATATGTGCCTTGGGACATATCTATATAGATTTATATAGATATAGATAGATCTATGTAGATCTAAGTAGCTATATATATACATCTATATACAGGTTTTTATTGTTTTATACTGTACATGCGCTCCTGGAAAATGGAGCATAACTTGAATTCACATAAAGGGAACCCATTTTAGAATGTAACAAATAGGGATACATTCCAAGACCTCAACTATACTGACCCCTATACCCATTCCTACCACTTTTACAAGACAAGTTTGGTATGCATCAACTGCAGACAGTATACACAAGCACAGGGTGGTGGTGAATGTTATCATAACGGAGATGGCAACAACAGAAATGCATGTCGCAGACAATGAGAGAGCACAGATCTACACAGGAAACTATATTTTGGTTTGCATAACTCCTACAATCTACTGCACAAAGCAGCTAACTGTGGGCTTCCACCACACCAATCACATAAGAGTGAATTTATCTCACATATAAGGAATTTTTGGTATAAAAAGGGTCATCGCATAAGAGTGAATTCACCCATACATAACCCACATAAAGTCAGGGAAACCTGTAGATTGATCAATCAATTGATCTATCTATCTCTCTAGATAGAGAGATAGAGAGATAGATATGTGTGTGTGTGTGTGTGTGTGTGTGTGTGTATTAGGGCTGTGAGAAGCTTTGGTCCCTGATTCGATTTGGCGGAATTTTGGCCTGATTCAGCAGCTGAATCTCCAAATCCCAATTGAATCAGGAGACCCTTCAATTTCTCCAAATCGAATTGGAACCCTCTGAATCAATTTGGAAAGATTCTGAGATTTGGAAAAAGACACAATTTTAAATGTTTTTTCTACATACCTCAAGGTACGAGGTGGCTCATGAATGCTGCAATGCTAGGACAGATGGAACATCCCACAGGCACACGGGGGGTTCCCCAGCACGCTTAGCAGAAGACCTGGAAGTGGACCAGAAGCACTCCTAGTCCACTTTTGGGTCTACCAGGGAGCACGTGGGGGGCCCCCAGCACCACCCCAGCTCAGCGACTGGTACCTCCTGGGCTGAGAGGGCACCCAGGGCCCCCCTGCAGCTGATCGCTGAGCCAGGGGGGAACATGGGGCGGGGAGGGCCCAATGCATTCCCCAGCAGACTTAGAAGTGGAAGTACTTCCAGTCCACTTCCAGGTTCACTGCCAAGTATGTGGCGGGCCCCCCCATGCTCCTGTGGAACGCCCTATCTGCCCTACCATCACAGCATTCATGAGCTGCACCTGGTACCTCGAGGAATGTAGAAAAAACATTTAAAGCTATGTCTATGTCCCAATCACTGATTCTCTGAATCAGCATTGAATCTTCAGATCCAGATTCGGCCCAATGGAATCAAGGCCAGTGATCTGGATCAATGAATCGAATCACTGCCCTTGATTCAGGGTGAATCTGAATTGAATACGGCCTTTTTTGCGCACCCCTAGTATGTAGATAGATAGCTAGTTAGCTAGCTAAATAGTTAGCTAGATAGATAGATATGTATATCTCAGGGCACCACTAAAATTCACTAGCCCATTTACTAAAGGTTAGCCTATAAGTGCTCAAACTCCTAAGACACCTGCTAGCCAGATATAGAAAAGGATTAAGGTGCCTGAATTGCACCGTATGCAGTATCTAGGCACTAGATCCAAGTTGGCGATTGCGCAGATGTGTGTGTGTGTGTGTGTGTGTGTGTATAGATATAGATAAAAACATTGCAATTATAGTTCATCTTTGAATTATTTATTTTTGGAGAAGCCTAATGGGATTAAGGCATGCAATCACCTAACTTTCAAAGGCACCTTTGAACATCCTAGTCATAAATAGAAATGGAATGTTTAGGTAAGGTTTTTAGGCACTTAATTCCTATATATTTGGCTAAAACCCCCTGATTTTTCCCTAAATAGGGATAGGATGAGTTTAGACCCAAGTACTTTTTTGGATTGGATCCTTCATTCCCATACTTAAAAGGTCATTATTAATAGATCTAACCTTTTGAATGCAGCATATATGCACTAATTTATATCTTGTGCAAGTTCAATAGGCTGAAGCAGTGAAGTATCTCTGACTCACAACATAGAAGGATCAGGCAGGTTGACTTCCAAGGGAGCTACAATGATATATGCTACCTGAGAATCTGGTGGTAAGACTTAGACACAATTTCAATGCCAAGTTTTATTCCCATTAGAATGAGGCAATATTCTGCTATTGATTTCAGTGCAGGAAAGAAAAGATGCCTTCTGGCTATGTTTATTTTCCTGTTATTTGAAAACATTCTTGTATCAGATCCCTACTGTGACTGCTAAGGAAATAATTATAACCACCAACGCTATGCTTCCTCATATACTTTAATGAACACAGAGGGGAAATGAATGTGGGCTGCTACAGATCCAGGTGTAAAATGTAAGTAGAATTATCTGTAGTTCTTTGCTTTATTCTGAAGTAGCTGTGTCTAATGCTATTACTTGCTAAATTCACCCTACACCATGAACAAAAATAGGTAATTTTAATGATTTAAGTTGCTTCATGATTTGAGGATGAAGGCAGGTATTAACAAAGAAAGTTACTACTATGAAAAAAGGTTATTAATTGTTTTTTATGATCAGACTGTCATTAATTTATACTCATTTAGGTGAGAGAATGATACGGTCTTCCAATCATAGGAAACCCTTTGAAATTCCTTTTTTTTTTTTTAAAGTCTGCAGAAAAAAAAGAGTCCTTTGATTTTCCTTTCTTTCATATGAAGGTTTGGGAAAAAAAGAGGAAAAAAAATGAAAAAAGACAGCCAGTTATCCCTACTCTTCTTAACAAACAACTACTTGGGGTTTAAGGCACTTATTGGAAAATCAATTTAAATCCCTTGTCTAACTAAATATGGTCTGTGACTTAAAACTGTGTTTGACAGTTCTCACCTGAATGCCTTAACCATCAAAATATTAACTACCCTGGAAAATATATGTTATTCTTTTTTGATCAAATCATCGTTGTGGAGCTGAGCACTTTTTCTAAACAAAAGTTCAATTGAAAGTAGTTCAGATCTATAAAAAATGATCTTTTCTTCTATAAATTGGAGTTTCTGACAAAGAAAAAAATGAAACGACAGGACAGGACAGGACAGGACAATGAAGGAAAGAAAAGGAGCTCAAAAATTCATGACCAGCTGTCCAGTGATGGGACTTCAATGAAATTACTTCAGTATGGTAATGCAGCCAATATTCTCAATGGATGTCAAATGGTAAAATTTCCCTACCCATGCCATAGAGAACCTGAGAAACAGGTGATTAAACAAATTCTGACCATTTTATCCTTAATTTTATTATACATAGATTGAGTTGAAAATGGGTTTTGACTTTTGCTATAGTATTGTAAATATGTTGACCTACATTCTGATCTTTCAACAGTTCTACACACCTATGAGCTCACTAGGCCAAATGCTTTTCTAACTGAAATGGGTTTAAAAAAAGGTCATGATTTAATGGAGCCCTGGAAGTACTCCAGTTTAAAGCTGGTGTAAGTGAGAGGAACATTCAAATCTTTAACTTAAATTATATGGTTTTAGATTTACAGTGTTGTGAGAGCAGACCCCAGACAAAATAGTTACAGTCCTGATTTATTTTCAGACCAAAAAGTGGATATGCTATGAATAGACAGTTAATAGTTTTGCTTGACTTTTAATATATATATTGAACTAATGCATAGATTTTCTTTTTAATTTCCAAGATGAAGCATGGTGAAGAAGAGACCCCAGGGAATGATTCTCTTGTGACCATGTTTGTCATAATGGGCTTTTCTACCCGCCCTGACATGAAGCTTTCTATCTTCTTGTTGTTGCTATGCATTTACATCATCACAGTGCTGGGCAACCTCCTCATTCTCTTCATCATAAATGCTGACCCCACCCTTCACACTCCCATGTATTTCTTCCTCAGGAACTTATCATTCCTAGAGATCTGCTACACTTCAGTCACCCTGCCCAAGTTGTTGACCAGCCTCCATTCATTTCCTTTGCTGGCTGTGCTACCCAAATGTATTTCTTTTTGTTTTTTGATGCAACTGAATGCTGTCTCTTAGCTGCTATGGCACATGACCGCTACAGTGCCATATGTAACCCACTGAGGTACACAGCCATTATGAACAAGAAGGTGTGCATCCAACTAGCTGCTGCATCATGGGTCTGTGGCAACTTGGTAGCCCTTGGACATACCACATTCATGTTCTCACTGACTTTCTGTGGTCCTAATGTGATTAACCACTTCTTTTGTGAGATCCAGCCACTGCTAATGCTGGTGTGTGGAGACACTTATTGGAATGAGATCCAGGTCATTGTGGCTGCTGCCTTTGTCATCATGATGCCTTTTATGCTAATTCTGGTGTCCTACATTCGAATCATTTCAACTATCCTTAACATTAGGTCTGCAGAAGGAAGGCGTAGAGCTTTCTCCACATGCTCCTCACAACGCACTGTAGTGATGATATTCTATGGAACAGCCATTTTCATCTATATTCGTCCCAAATCTACCTATTCCCTGGATGTGGACAAACTGCTCTCTTTGTTCTACTCCGTGATCACACCAATATTAAACCCAATTATATACAGCCTTGGAAACAAGGATGTGAAAAGAGCCCTTAAGAAAATAAAGCTAAAGATGTTTTATCAAAAAACATAGATAGATTTGCTTTTTTGGATAGTCCTCTGAGGAATAGTTCAGTTATTTTTTTTTTAAAGGGGGGAGGGGAAAGTTTATACTCCTTATTGTGTATATCTTAAGATGTATAGGAACATAGGATCAGATGACACAATACAAGAGGGGGCCTCCTGGGCTAGTTAATCCAGTGACTCTGGTCTGTTGACATTGTGAAAATTAATGTAATAAAATACCTTCTGCAAAATTATGAAGCTCCATCTTTAAACTGTTTCCCCTCTTCTCCCACTGCCCCCAAATACACCTGCTCTTATTCAGGACCTCATTCTTCTTGTGGTTATAAATCTTCTAGTTTCCAGCCTAAATTATTCACAGTCAGCTTATACTGATTGGCTGTAGGATCCTGTGGTCACATTCTCATTTTGCACAAACAGAACAAACTAGTGGCTCATAGTCATCCTTTGATCCATTAATAACCATAGATCTGTCATTCACTGGGGTTCCAGATTACGTCAGAAATTATTTTTATTACTCCTGAAGTTCATTATCTTGCATTATTTATTGTTAAATTCCATTCTGTTCCTATTACCCTAGTAAACAAAATTATCCATTTCTTTCAATATGATTTTCCAAACCTCCCAGGTTTGTGTCATTACTAATACATTCCTCTTTTTCATGACAACACCTTTAATGAAAATAATAAATAAAATTGTTTCCATGACCAATCCTTGAAAAATCTGAGTTGTAAATTCCCTTAGGCTCATAGTTCGCCTATCAAGCCAACCTACTGTGAAAAGGGTACCAGTAGTTCGGAGAGAAGTGTCTGCTATTGGACAGTACTTGAAAAATTTTGCAGATTGGCTGAAGGGTCGCACTCAGAGGGTGGTGGTGGATGGATCATATTCGACTTGGGGGGAGGTGGGTAGTGGAGTCCCTCAGGGCTCGGTCCTGGGCCCTGCGCTGTTCAATGTCTTCATCAGCGATCTTGATGTTGGGGTGGAGAGCAACCTGTTTAAATTCGCTGATGACACCAAAATTTGGGGGGAGGTGAGCACGCTAGCAGGGAGAGAGAGATTGCAGAAGGATCTGGATAGGTTACAGGGGTGGGCAGACAGGAACAGGATGCGTTTCAATACGGACAAGTGCAGGGTGCTGCACTTGGGTAGTAGGAACCAGCAGCACACTTATACGATGGGGAGCTCCCTACTTGAGAGCACGGAGGCGGAAAGGGATCTTGGTGTCATTATTGACTCCAAGATGAACATGGGCCGACAATGCGAGGTCATGGTTGGCAGGGCTAACCGGACCTTGTCGTGCATCCACAGGTGCATCTCGAGTAGAGCCAGGGAGGTGATCCTCCCCCTCTATGCGACGCTGGTCAGGCCGCAGCTGGAGTATTGTGTCCAGTTCTGTGCGCCCCATTTCAGGAGGGATGTGGACAACATGGAGAGGGTCCAGAGGAGGGCCACCCGCATGATCCGGGGACAACAGGGCAGACCCTACAGTGAGAGACTGCGGGACTTGAACCTATTCAGCCTCCACAAGAGAAGGCTGAGGGGGGACCTGGTGACCGTCTATAAACTCACTAGGGGGAACCAGAAGGGTTTGGGGGAGACGCTGTTTCCCCTAGCCCCTGCTGGCATAACAAGGAATAATGGGCACAAGTTGATGGAGAGGAGGTACAGATTGGACATCCGAAAAAACTACTTCACAGTCAGGGCGGCTAGGAGCTGGAACCAACTTCCAAGGGAGGTGGTGCTGGCCCCTACCCTGGGGATCTTTAAGAAGAGGCTGGATACTTACCTGGCTGGACTCATTTGAGTCCCGTTTTTGTTTTTAGGGTGAGTGGTTTTGTTTGTGTTTTTCGGGTTGTTCTCCCGCCCTGGCGGGGGGTCGGGCTAGAAGATCTATTAGGTCCCTTCCGACCCTGAAACTATGAAACTATAAATATTCTCTTTATTTAACACTAGTTAGTTAAACTAGCCTTCATTTTCTTTTTATCCTATTCAACCATGTTTAAGACCCTGAAAAAACATTACTGAAAAAGGTACGTGCAATTTTGCAAAAGGAAGTTAGTACTGTGGTGCCTTAGGGTGACTATACATGTGCATCAAGACTGCTCCAACACACTGTAACTGGCTCTGGCCCAGCCTTTCAGCCTCAGCATCTCAACAGCCTCAGGCCACCTTCTTCATCCCCAATCCTGGGGTCAGGCTCAGGCTCCAGCCCTCTTGGCCTCAGATGCCTTCACTTCCTCCCCCTCCCCACACTGGGGCTCAGGCTCTGGCCCTCTTGGCTGACTCAGTCACTGCCTCTGGGCTCAAAATTTGGCAAGCCACTTAGGCAGTCCTGTGGCTTCCTATTCACCCCTACACTAACCCCAGTCCTCCAGTTTTAAAACTAAATCAAAATGCAAGCCACCACTTTAAACTCAAACTTTCAAAGTCACTAGGACACTGCCAAGCCACCTTCCCATTCTGTGTCTCTCTAAGCCCTGAAAGCACCTGCCATGGCCTGCAGTCCCCACTCCCCACACGCCTAACCTGGCAGGAGCTCCTCTCCCTGCAGAATTCAGAACTTCCCTGCCCCTCTGTCCTACAGGCCCAAGCTTACATACCCTGGGCTCCTCCTCTTCCAGTTACATGCTCTCTTTAATGGCCACAGGTGTGTCCCCTCAGCCTCATAACTTACTGCTGTTTCTCTAGCTAAACTGTATCAGTGCTCTTGCTGCCTTACCATGGCAGTGCCCCATTGTCCTACTGCTAGGCAGCTAGCTCCAAAATAGACACTTGCAGCCTATGGGTTCCTGACTGCCTACTCCCCTGCAGCTAGTCCAGAATCTGGTATCGCTTCCTCTCCCCCATGCACACCTGAAGACACCCCTATTGTGGCTTCTCAAAGTAACAGGAGTCCTTGACTCTCTGTTATAATATATATTTTTAATCATTAAGCTATCTTTCATTCATTGCACTCAGGCCAAACTTTCTTAGGATATGGCCATAACCATGAGAAGTATGCCCTCTAGCTCTTCATGTGGGAAGTCCCTTAATGGTTCCCTCTTTGCATTTCTCTTAAGTTCTGTGACTTTTGATGGTCAAAAGTGGGAGTTGGGTGTGCATCAGTGTAGCTTTACCACATCATTTGGTTGTTCTATATACTGCTAGGGGCAGGAGCAGATACCTGTGCACCATATTGTTTCACAAGTTCTTCAAGTCATTATTGACACTTTTTGACATCAACAGGAATGGCCTTTACTAATGTAAGGCAGAACCATTTCAAATGGTAGCAGGACTCAAGATGTTACTTTCTATTTGTCCTCTTCTTGTGCTTCAGCTATGACCTTATGCAAATTACAAATTACAAGTCCAATAAACCAATTTGATATTATAGCAAAATACACTTGACCATGAAGCTAACTCAAATCTAAGCATTTCAAGTCATTATACATACTACTACTGTACTAACTGGACTCCAGGGACATAAACCAGAGTTAAAATATGCTCCTAAATATTATGGCACACCAGTTTCAGCCTCCTGTTGATCAAGACGATGAGTTTTGGAGGATAGTGAAACAAAGCAAAACAAAACAAAATAGCACCAACAGATGAGTCAAAATTTCCAGTTTCTCTATTGTAACTTATTTTCTTCTGCATATTCAATGTAAGAAAGGAATACTTGTTTTCTTGGCAGGAAGAGTCACATAGAGTGATTCTTTTGTTGCATTGCTACAGAACCCATCCCTGCAAGCTCTAAAGGTAAAAAAAAAACCCAGAGAATTCCTAAGTTTAGAAAACTTTGTTGTAATATGAAAAACATTCTAATTTTTTAGAAGTCATTAATAGGGATAAAAGGTCAGGAAACAGAAATTATATTTGGTTGCCAGTTCCTGTCCACCCTATACTTTTGATATTGTTAGACATTTTTTATTGCTTTGGATTGGCAGTTCTGGAAGAAGAAAGAATGACCAGCATGTCTACTGAATTCTAATAGACTGGTTTCAGAGTATTTTGTGGGGGCCAATACATCAGGATTCACAGAGATGTGTAAAAGTTACATTTTTTTCTAATGACAAGGGACATTTCTCCCCCATTCCTTTCAATTATATTTGATTTGTATCCTAGCTCATGAAAGTTCTTTTCCTTTATAACTTTTAATTTTCACAAATGAAACTGGTGAAATTTCTCACAATTAATTAGCACATTTTTCCAAAGGAACTGCAGAAGTTTGGATACCTATTTTTTCCTTAATTTTCAAGAAAAGAATATTAATAATCAAAATTTATGTAGTGAAAATGTTAAAAACAGTTATCTTATAATTGTATTGAAAAGCTAATAAGAGAATGTGTTTCAGACTGTAGATTCATGTGTATCTTTGCATAAATGTGTGTGTGTGTATGATTTTTAAATGTTCGTGTGTTGTTTATGTGTTTTTAAGGTTCATGTGTGCCTCTGCCTGTGTGCATCTTTTTATTATAAATTTATATACATAATTTTTAGGCCAATGAATAACTCTGAATGCATATGGCTATTTGTTCCATAGTTTTTTCATGAGAATTTGCCATCAGGAGGGGTGTATATACATTTGTTGAGTGCCACTGTGTTCCACTTCTTGTATATTTGGACATGTGTTGAGTAACATGTAGTCAGACATGTGTTGTGTAATTAACATTGTATTGATATCTATATATGTATCTGTGTCTAGGTGTGTGTCAATTTGCTTGAGTTTCTGTATGCTTGTGCAGGTACTGTGTAGGTGTTGTGTCTAATCATTGCAAGTAAGTTAGTATAAACTTTGTGTGTACATGTTTTGTTTGTGCCTTTTGTCTATGGGTGGGGGAAGTGGTATCTAATCAATGTTAATCATAGCAGGACACAAAATGATAATCACGTACTGTATTTTAGTTTAAATAGTAAATAGTCTAATGTATCTTTTTTTTCTACCCTATTTTAGCAATATTGAAGTTGATAAAATAAATAGTGGGAAAATAGAAATATATGATTTCAAATTAAGGACTTGAATTAGAGGTTAGAATTAGAATTCAGAGAAAGAAGTTCAGATTCTATTGTTGCTGCTCTTCTAATTTTTATATCACTTCTAGGCCAAATAGCAGGCATCTCAATTAAAAAAAAATGTAATCATGTTCAGCTCAGGGATAGGCATATTTTGCCCTTTTTTGCAGTTATGGCATGGGAGGATTCAGTTCAATTCAACTTGAAGCTCATTTAGATGGTAGTTGGCTACCTGAACCAGTGTATCTTATTGAGAGACACAAGCTTTGTCTTTAGTGTAAGTTACACCCCACTGCCTGGGAATGCATAATGCATTAAATTGTCATTGGATAAAAAAAATGTATACCATTTTAGGAGCAGAAACCAAATATTCAGACATTTGTATACCCAGAAGGAGGAAGTGGTGCTAGTGGTAGTGGTGGGCAGCTATAGTTTTCTTTAAAAAATTAAGCCCAGGTCTAAAAGACATTGCAGAAGTGGGCTAGAGATTACAGCACTGATGCTATGCCAGTGATCTGGGGTTAATTCCTTCCTTTGCTTGGAGGAATTCAAAGCAAAAGCTAACATCTCCCAGAAGCGCACTCTATCCTAGAAGCATGCCCTATTCCCATTGTTCTTGTTGAAGTTGTGCCAGTATTCAGGGGGGAGGGGGGAAATTCATTGGGTCAACTGGGTCATTGTGGTGGGGAGGGGAAGAAGCAGCATGCCATTTCAGGCCAAGGTTTAGCTGAGTCAACTAATAAGAGGAATCCCAAGTTCCAGCCCCTGCATCCAGCATTATTTATTAGTTCTATCTAATGATTATTTTGTAGAAGAGGACTCTGAGCAGGAGCTGGGTTGCAGGATGCCTCCTGTTAGCTCAGTGCACTAATCACTAGGCTACAGCATAACGATAATTCTTGTTCTCAGTTTCTGTCTTCCTTTTGCCCAAGAATCAAATACAACTGTTGTACACTCAGAAGTATTTTTTAAAAAAAATATGTTTCTACTTATTGTTGTTTCTTCTCTTTTTTTCTATAGATGGTGGAAGACTCATCTGCAGATCTGCGAAATGATAGCTCAGTAACAGAATTCATTATTGTGGGGTTTCCCAGCACAAGAGATGTAGAGGTCTCACTCTTCATCCTTTTCATATCCATGTACCTCCTCTCCGTCACAGGAAATATCATTATAATTATGACTCTTAAAATGGACACACAGCTTCATACCCCAATGTACTTCTTTCTGGGAAACCTCTCTTTCCTGGATGTGGGATATACCACAGTCACAGTCCCTAAGCTACTGTCTATCCTCCTTACAGGAGTCAGAACAATACCCTTTGCTGGCTGTTTGTTGCAATCTTATTTCTTTTTCTTCCTTGGTACTGCTGAGTGTTTCCTCCTTGCAGTGATGGCCTATGACAGATACATAGCCATATGTTACCCCCTCAGGTACTCAGTCATCATGAGCCAAAAGGTCTGTGTGCTACTGATTATTGGTTCTTGGATAGGTGGTTGCATCGCTCCTTTGGTGGCTGCCTTTTTGGTGATTAGTTTGCCATTTTGTGGCCCCAATATAGTTAACCATTTCTTTTGTGATATCCCACCATTGCTCAAGCTGGCATGTGTGGACACATCTATAACACAGAAGGTGATATTCCTGCTTTCTGCCCTGGTTATTCTAGGCACATTCTTGTCTACTGTAGTCTCCTACCTGTATATTGTTATCACCATTTTAAGAATTCCTTCTGCAGAAGGCCGGCATAAAGCCATCTCCACTTGTGCCTCCCACCTAACTGTGGTTTCACTCTATTATGGGACAGTGATTTTCATGTATGTCAGTCCAACAACACGATCTTCCTTCAACATGAACAAAATTGTAGCTGTTGTGTATAGTGTGGTCACTCCAACATTAAATCCAATGATTTACAGTTTAAGGAATCAGGATATGAAAAAGGCCTTAAAAAAAATTCTCCTTAAGAGACGGACTCATGGGAAAGAATTTGAGTGGCCCAAGTAATTTCAGAGTTTAGACATGGGGACTCTACATATAAGAGAAAGCATTTAAAATCAGACTGGAAAATTAATCTGGAAAAGTGGTTCTTCAGGGAGGCCTTGCATAAAAGTCACATTAGAAGCTATGGATCTCAAAACAGGAAGTGAAGCCACCTGAGCTAGAAGAGTCACCTCTGTAAATTCAGCAATGTATTTAACTCATCAGCTTCTGTGTGTGGGCTCACCACAATAAGTTTAGGATGAAAATTTAGAGACATCCAGATTATGGCTGCAGATGTAAACTGACAAGATACAGTAATAACCTTGTTTGTGCAATTCGCAGCTAAATGACGGTTTCCTTCCCAATGATTATCCCTAGAATTAGCCTGCTGAAAATTCTGTCAAGACACATAACCAGGATTATTTTTCCCTTGACTGAGGAAGGTTCTTAGATATCAGTGAGCCAGGGATGGGTTTGTCCCCTTATTTGCTTACAATCCCACCATCACACATCAAATTCAGGCAAAAGCCTATCTGAGTTTCTGTGACCTTCAGGCTAGCTGGTTAAGGCATGCTCACAAAGGAGTGATGTGACTAAAATCACATCCAATCATTTTTGACTCCACATCTGGAATATTCAGGTATCCATTTGCAGCTTGGTCATTTGGGATCAAACATTATTAGTTCAGAGCAAGGCTGAAATTTGTTTCTCCAGAACCCAATCAAGATGGTTTCACCAGTCTGCCACTGCATCCTGCACATATCAGCTTACTTAAATCCAAAATATTTAAAAATGGATCTCCCATTCAAATCCCATATAATATCATCCTTCAGATCATGGACCATAATCCTGTATGCAGTTTGGGTATTTTTCTTTTTTATTGTTTTTAATTGGTACACAAAAAATCAAAGTACATATATATAAATTACTTACACATCTGTCTGAAACACATAAATGTCTATCACAAATAATAAGCTATAAAGGGGAAAAAACAAAGGAGGGAAGAATGAGTGATACAGAAGGAAAAGATAGATGTGCATTTAATAAGAAAAAAAATAGTTACCAACATATTCTAAAAAAAAAATCTTTCCAAATTGCTTTAAACCTTTCAAAGCAGTTACAGCTGTAAAACACGATTTTTGCTATGGATACAAGTTTTTCCATTTCTTTAAACCAGGATACAACTTTTAGAGATGCCCTTCATTTCCAATGAAGTAATACAAACCTGCATATAACTAATAAGGCCTAATATATAAATGAAATCTGGGAAGAATTCAGTTTGAACTCCTTATACCCAAGCATATTATTATTTGTCAAGGGTATCAGCACTGTATTCAAAACTATAGTAACTCTAATTATAATTTCTTTCCAAAAAGGACTGATAATAGGGAATGACCAAACGATTTGAACAAGCAATCTGTTGTACCTCAGAAACATCTAATAGCAATATAGTTAATCTTTTTAGTTTAGAGACAGCTCAATGAAGGTGGTTGTGGTTGATGCAGTTTAAGTTTAGTTGTGAATGTTTAAATATACTGAACTGCAGATTTACATTCAGATTTTATCATCTGACTACCTAAACCTTCATTTTACTTAAATATTTAAGTAAAGATTATTAAATTTACATTATTACATTCATTTAAATTATTAAAATGATCTGTATCAGCTCTGTTATGTGATATTATACATTCTTAAAGTGATAGCATACAGTAGGGAACAGAAGGGTATTTCAAGCTAAAATTTAGTATATCTAGAGCATTTGCAACCCTCAAAGCTTCAGGTTGAAACTAATTTTTCAGTACTTGACACAATCACATGTCTTGCCATTTAACTGTTTTCAGGAGGTTGAATTTATCATATATTTCACAGAAGAATTTAATATGATTACCCATTAAAAGCTACATTTCTACATGTATATTCCCCTTATACATCTACTTTCTCCATGTCAGTTATGGAACTCATACTTCAAAAAAAAAGGGAATGCCCCAAAGAGATGCCTTACAATGTAAAGAAGGATGAAACTTCACTGTATGCCAATTTTTCCAAGTTGTCAGGTTGCTAAAATTATGGGGATTAGAAAATTATCAAGATGGTAGAACGTAGAGCCAAAAATGTTTGATAAGGGAAGGGGAAACATAAGAACTTCTTCAACTTTTACCCGTACTGGAGAGTTATCATTTATATCAATCATTCACAATATAGCCTGACTTACTAGGAAAGGCATTGTGATACTATTAAAGGTTAACAATTTCAAAGTCACTCATTTCAACTGATAGTTGAATCATTTAAAATTAAAGTTGGTTCCTTTTACCCTCTCTCCACAGACACCTGATAATCTTTTCATTGATTTTATCAAAATAGGATTGGGGGATTATTACCAGTAGATTATGCGATCACTAATTTAGAAAAGGCAATTCATTCATTTTTCAAATATGAACATACCTCCATACAGATATTGCCAATGTTTTCCACTTGTTCAGGTCCTATAAAATAATATTGAGAATCTTCTGGAAGTTTTTGGTAGACTATATCATTAATATTCTTGTATATGTCAATGCCTGAATCAGTTATGTGTTCTGGTTGTCAGTGTAACTGCAATTGCTAAACAGAGCTTTTGTGGTAACTAGTTTCTATATCTACAGTGGGGAGAAAAAACACTAATGCTTCTCTTGCCCAACATGCATTCCAGTAGATATTTAGTTTGTAAAGTCTGAATCCAAATTATAGAGCTTAGGTTTATATCTGATATATATCCAGGGATTTTAATCTCATATATGAAAGATTGCTGCCACAGTAAGTAAGGAGACAGATGGAAAGACTAGTTGCTATCAACAATCTTACCTAAGAAAGGCAATACGATTTTAAAATACAAAGGTTTAAGGGAAAAAAAGCTTTCATATATTTTTTTTTTTGTGAGGATTCAGTGACGCAGCTTCAAGTCAGCTATGATCATTATAGACTGTTATGTTAATTCACAGCTGAGCAGGTACACCCAAGACTTACATGTTTCATGAACCTTTTTAATAGAGGTAGGAGTAGTGCTAGATTGAAAAGTGTCAGTTCAACGAAGTTCAAAAGAAAATGTCAATTTGTTTAGTCATTTGAGTTTTGAGAACTTTAGTTAAAAGCCAGGAAGGGACCCTGTGGTCCCCACATCTCTGACCTTATGACAGCCTGCGTGGTGGGCCCATCACTGAAGAGGGGCTCCACGAATCCAAGGGCACATCCACACATACAGGCATGTGTGCTTGCAGCAGCTCAAATAGAAGTGATGCAAATTTGAGCCAGGGCTTTTGGCCTCAGCACATGTGCCCAGACATGCACTTTGGTGCACAGCAAATTGTGCCAGTTGGGGCAAAATAACCCTGCCTTGCTCCTCCCAGATCTGCAGCTAGGGGGTGCTAGAGCCCTGGGGCAGCACCTGTGCTGTCCCCAGCAGTATAAAAAGCTGCCCTGTCCTGGCCCCATCACTACAAAAAGCTGCCCTGGAAAGTAACTCAGGGCTACTTACTCTCAGGAACTTCTTGGGCCCAGCAAATTGGTACCTGGGGACACTACCCCTTGTGCCAGCTGGACTGCTAAAACAGCCCTGAGAGCTCCCTGCCCCCTCTACCCACTGCAGCAGTCTGACAGTGGGGGCTGCTACCTTGCTGTGACCTGCTGTGCACCTGCCAGACCTGGATGGGGACTGCACAGCCAGCACTGGCATCTGCCCCTCTGAGCCAGCAGCCAGTGGACTGTGGCTGCAGGGTTGGCCTTTGTGCAGCACTACTGCCATGTGTGCCCCTGCCCGACCATCTGGACAACTATCTCCCAGAATATGTTCCAGGTATGGTGGCCTCCTTTTACTTTGAACTGTCAAAGCATTTCCTCCTGGCCCCAAATGGCCAGGAGATCAGCCACCTCCAGCTGGGTTCAAGGTTCCAGCTCTGAGCAGGCAAGGTCCTGCCACTGGCCTCCCTAACAGGAATTCTGGTGTTCCCTATTTGAAAACTGAAAAATCCTTGATAAAAAAATCCCAGTGTCACACTGTTAAGTACCCCAAAATCCATGTTCCTTCACAATTAAAACAAAAACCACTATATAGAGAGAGAGTGAGAGACAATCATCAGTTAAGCAATGTTTTATTGATATATCTACAATGTTAAAGCAATTTGGAAGCCTATCAGAGTCTCTCTTATCATAATAAATGAATTCTAAATAGCTATGTTTTGCTGCCCCCCACAGGGGATACAACCCCCAAAGGGATTACAGCCCCCCAGCAAAGGCTACAGCCCCCCCAACAATTCCCTCTCAGGGGTTACAGTTCCCTCTCAGGGTCTACAGCCCCCAATAGGGGACACATCCCCCCCTCCACAGGGGCTACAGCCCCCCCACAGGGGCCAAATGGCCCCCACAGGGGCTACACCTGCTGCAGGGCCCACATGCCCAATCCCGTTTGCTCCCCCAGTCCCAGCACCTGCCAGTTCCTGCAGCCTCCCCTGATGGTTGCCCCACCTAACCCAACCCTGCTACTTCCCCAAACACCCCAATGACTGCCCCGGCCAGCCTCAGCCCCTGCTTGCACCTCCAGCACCCCGATGACTGCCCCCCCCACCAGCCTCCAGCAATTTAAAAGAATAAAATAAAAATAAAACCTCTACTTATCACAGGAGCAAGGGCTCAGGGGGCTCCAGGGCCTGGAAAAGCCCCCTGAGGCAGCATGGGGCATTGTGGGGCAGTGGAGGGCAGCAGGGCCCAGTCTGGGGCCACCGGGGCTGTCACCCAGCCCCGCACTGTGCAGGGGGTCCCCAGTGACCCCTGACAGCAGCTGGTACTGCCAGTAAGTGCCGGGGGGAGTTGTTTTTCTATTCTTGCTGGGGTGGGAGGGCAGTGATGGGGGGGCTCAACTGGCAGGCAGGGCATGGGGCCAGCTGGAACAGACACTGGGGGGGGCTCTGGGGCTGAGGGGGGCTGGATCTGGGTGGGGCAGGGATTGGGGGGGCTTTGAGGGCAGGGGGGGCAGGAAT